GACACTTGGTTCCTAAGAGTCAGAGAAAGATCTAAGTTTTTAGAAAATCTGTGACAGTGTGAATGATTGTCGATGTTCATCATTAAGTCATTACACTCTCCCAGGTTATTACACTGTCTACAATTACAAGCACTTGATCAGTGTTCAAATTTTTCTTTCAAATTAAAAAAATTATATTTATTTCCATAAATATGTCAAAATAATCATGTCAAAGCACTATGGAATTGTAAGATGATAGCATTAGTAACATTTATTCATTCATTGTACAGAAGAAAAGGCAGTTTTCCCTAAAACTATATGCAAAGTCATGAGTTACAGTTAAAAACAACATATGTAAGTTTCAAAAATGATTTTGTGACTCACTAAAGCCATATTTCCAGTTCAACTTCAAAAGAGAAAAACAAAAAAGGACAATGATTACCACACTACCATACATTCACTATGAAAACTACGTCACAGTGTTTAGATATGAAGTCTGCAGAGTGGTTAGAAAGTGTGCTGCAACTTAGTTATCTGATGCTGAAGTTTTCTTTAAAATGGACCTTTGACCTTTTAGATTCAAGTTCAAATCTCAGATCTACTGCATTCTAGCTGCATGATTTTTGTGGATTTTTCAGTCTTTATGAAATTTCTTATCACTCTCAGGAAGATGGAAATACTATCTGTGTCTAAACATGGAGAATTCTTAAATGATGACAAAAGGAATTTAACGATGGTTTTATTCTTCGGAACTAACAATCTTACAGGAAATCTCAAAATTTTTTGAAGTTTAATTTCATAAATGATTCACTGCTCATTTGATTGGGTCAGTAGATAAAACAGTCTTCTTTCCAAGGGCTATTATCTTTGCTCATTTTGGGGTTGTGTCAATAATCCAGTTGAAGGGAATGCAATGTGGATATTCAGTCTGGGAAGATGATGTAGCATACAACACAAGAACAGGGAACTTCTCTTGCCTACTTCCTTAATGGTGAGAGTTACATTGAGTTTCCTGTGTTCATAGCTGAAATAAAAATACTTTAAAAATACGCATGCGTACCTCCCTGATCCTTTACCCCTGCTCTTTTGTACTTTCAATTTTTACCTCATTTCCTAGAAGGGCATTTATGCAGGCTTCTGATGCATCACAGATGGCTGTCAAATCGTGTCCTCCTTCTAGAGCCAACGCCACACGTCCATCAGCCAGTGTCATCAACTGCTTAGTCAAATGACCAAAGCCTACCATGGTAAAAACAGAATATTTCAAATGATTAAATAAAGAGAAATGATGACTAGAATCTGACAGTGACTGAACATTTATTCTCCTCAAGTTCTTTCTCAGCACTTGCTAGAACTAACTCATTTACACTCATGAAAACTTTATGAGTTAGGTTCTATTATCTTAGTGCTATAAACAAGATTACTAAAGGTCCAAGATGCCACAGATGAAAAGCATTACAACAAAACTTACATCATTTACTCTCTCTCTTCACCAATAAACAGTGAAGCCTCACTTAACACGTTTTGAATCCATCTGAAGAAGAACTTGAATAAGAACTGGGACTATAGCTCAGGGCAAGAGTGCTTGCCTACCACGCATGAGGCCCTAAATTCAATTCCAAGAAACACATGCACACTCTATTTTGTAGTTATTTTTGTTATGAAATATTTGATATGTGCACTAACATATATTATGGATTATTAGATATAATGATATGAGAATCATCTCAATCATCTGTCTTAAGGAAAATAATATTAGCAATACTAATGAAACCCTCTGCATGTCACTCTGCAATGGTATCAGTTCCCCTCCGTGTGGGAAGTCAGGAGCTTGAGATGGCAGTTTTAATTCTGTTGCATTCCTTTGTTGAATTTGCTTGCCTTTAAATTTTATAAATATCTCTTCATACTTTTCCAACTTGCTCTTTTTGGGCATTTTGATCTCTCATCTCCACTGATGCATGAAGCTCGGTTCTTTACCATCTAGTAGGCCAATTCGTGTTTATAGAATTTGTTTACTTATTTTTATATATACGGATATTGGTATTGTTGTTACTGGTGTTACAAAAATTTTAGTTTGTTGTTGCAAACAGTGTTGCCAAGAATATCCTTATGCAAGTCTTCTGGTGCACAGATGCAAGAATGGAATGAAATTGTGAGTTAAAATCTGCTAAGTAATGCCAGATTATTTCCAAAGGCAGATCACCAGCCCCCACACTTAGAAGCAACATACATGAAAATTCCAGTTCCGTTACATCCTTGCGAACATTTGGTATGATTTGCTAAGTGGGTGGATGAACAATGCCACATTATTGTGGCTTCATTCTGTAAAAGGGAGGGGCTTTCTATTTCTAGTTTTATTAAGTGTCTGTACAATTTGATCTATTTTTTTCTATATAGATTTGGCCTTTTCCTATAATTTTAGTAGCATCGTGAGCTATTATAATGCATTAATTAGCACTTCTAATATTAGGCTATCATTGCACGTATGCCATAAAGTGAGTTTATTTCTGATACAATTTTAGTGCACAGCTAGATACATCTTACTAACCGTTGTTTCAGACCTTTTTGTCCTATGCTCATGAATGAGATTAATAGAGAAGTTTTCCATTCTTGTGTTGATGATGAATTGACCATGATGAATTGTTCTTCATTATCTGACCTGGAATGTTAGATACATGTTTCCTATAGTTATTTAGATTTTGAATTCTCTATAATGAAGGTTTTTAACTATTGATTCATTTTTTAGGGATTATAGATCTATTCATATCTTTAATTGGAATTTTCTAGGACTTTGTTCTATTATTAAAATGTTCAAAGTTACAAAAATAAAATTTTCGTTTTTATCTTATTTTCAAACTCCAATGAAATGTAGGCAAACTTTGTCACCTAATATCTTATAGATTCCCTCCATATTGTTTTCATATATTAATTTTATTTCTTTAAATATATTTTATGTGCTGAATCTGATCACTGAATTATTTCAGTTTAGTTTGTTTTTTGCTATTTCTAATGATTCATCCTCAAAGTTCCTTTAACTTTCTTGTTTGTGTTTTTCTTTCCATTTTTCCTTTTTTGAGCTCATATTCAGTGCAAATGTTATATACAAGAAGTCTTTGAAGCCTAGTGCGATGGACTGAATGTCTGTGACCATTCTCCTGCCCACTTACATTTATGTGTTGAAATCCTAATTGCTAGTGTGGTAGTATGTGAAGGTTTGCCTTGGGTGATTAGGTGATAACCTTGTGAATAATATTAAGGCTTTTATAAAATCGAACTCCAAAGAGTACTCAAAACATTTTTTCCTGCCAGGTGAGGATGATAGAAGTTGTCAGGGTACAACCCAGATGAAAAACTCCACAAGAACCTGACCATGCTGGCACTCTGACCTTGTGTTTACAGACTCCAGAACAGTGAGAAAAATTCAAGTGTTTTAAAGTCATCATTATGTTGCACTTTGTTATAGGAGTCTTAACTCAGATACTCCTCTTGTGTTAATGTGATATATCTCTTTTCAATCCTGGTATAGTGTGATTTTGTTTGCTTCTGTTAAATGTTTAGGATACTATCATCTAGGATCTATTTTAAATTCTTAGACTGCAGTGTTGATTTAGGATTTTGCTTTTGTATATGTATTATAAATATGGACTTGGTTATGCTCAATTTGTTGTCTTT